ATTGGACTCCGATCCATTATGCTCAATCCGCAGATCCGAACCAATCTTGCGGGAATCGTCGGCATGCAACCTATACGGGGTGACACCGAAAAGGTAAGTTGTAAAGAAAGCCAATGATCCCCGCAGGATGGATAGGATCTGCGGATTGAGTATAATGGATCAGAGTCCAATCCATTATGCTCAATCCTCAGATCCGATCCATTCTGCGGGGATCATCGGAGGGGTTGTCACCAAGTGTTACCGCACCGGGTGACACCAACCCTGGGGACGCCTCTGCCTTGTGGTGCTGTATTTAAATATTATTGTTAGGTTCATATACCCCATTTTAAAACAGCTCTCTGTGGGGAAAACATACATACTGTACAGCATAATTGACATCCAGACATGTTGTGGTTACTGAGCACTATGTGTTACTACAATTTTGAAGTATTGCAATTTTTTGCCATGAATAAATAAATAAACATCTTTAAATCAAAAATTCTGATACAAGCCTTGTTTGCTGTCGGATTAACCACTTGTCTCATGGGGTGGGCTTTACCCACTCATGCGACTTTTTTGTTTTGTGTCTGATTGTGGTTTAGACAGCATCACTTATATAGTGATAAGGCAAGCAGTGTTCCTTCATACTTCCCTCCAACCCTTTTTGTTTTTCTTTAGTACAGTTTCACCAATGGTAACTTTCACCATATTCTCCGGAGGTTTGTAACAGGTATACTTTAAGGTGGAGCTAAAGTTTTGCTGTGACTCACTGTGAGCAGGACGGCTTTTTATTGCAGAAGAGACATACAATGTCTCAAAGAAGGTACAACAAATTATACCAGAATGCCACTGTTACTGAAGCAAAAGAAGCCCATAGGGTTGAACATGCTCAATTAACATGGTAATGATTATTAAATATCCATTGTAGAATGTAAAGAAAAATTACCAGCTTTAGGATAGGTTGCAATGATCACATCATCAGATCTAGCTTGGAATTCTTCCACTCGCTCCCAGTTTTCTGCACTTTCTGCTCCTATAGGGATCCCATGAACAAGAACAGTTTTCTTAAGGGTAGGAAGGTCCATTCTGTAAATTGTAGGTAATAAATAGAAAATGTTTTTTTAAAATGCCTTTTCTTGTTTAATGTTGTCAATATCTGTTTCTGCCAAAGAAAATGTTAGTTATGTAAGCAGAAATTCATATAGCAAAGTTAACTTAAGCAGGTATGATATGTGGAGTTACGCAGACCAGCATTCAGAAAGAGAGGCATCTTCTCTCAGAAAGCCAAAACTCTCCTTCTCCCAGGGATCCTAGTTGTTGACTGCCCTGCTGCTCGACCTCCTGTGGTTGCAGCGATTCACCACTTTGAAAGCCCTACAGCTCTTATCTTTTCATACTGCGCTGTGTTGTTTAATTACCTGTAGACCTACAGGTGGGTATATCTTCAACGTTTGGAGAAGAAATCTGGAGATTGTAGTACTCCATCTTGGCTATGCCTTCAGTTTGTAAATAGTATTGTTAATAAAATACTGAAAGATGTGAGCTTAATGAACAATGCTCATCATGTAGCAAAGTGCCTATATACTCACTAGGCTCAGTTGCAGGTATGGGCCACTTAACTCCTTTGTTCCACAACTTCTTGGGTTCTTGGATATACCCAGAGAAGGTAAGTATCTGCTTCACTCCCTTAGTAGCTCAAAGAGGCCACTATTATTGAAGTAGAGGTAGCTGGACAAGTGATCTTCAGCATAATGAGCAGACGTCCACTGTCAGATCTGGCATGCAAACAACTAGCCTAGAGTCTAGTCACACAACTTCTCCATAAGACCCAGCTGCTGTGAGGCGCACCAACCAAGTTGCTACCACAGTACTCTAGTTCGAGTGGGGTGGCCTCCTTGTGTCCTTGGGCTTTGGATCCCTCACAGTGTTTGCCTGTGCTACAAATGCTACCATACACTTCATTGAGAGGGATGCTGTTAATGGGGATAAGTGCAGGTCACTGTTTGTGTTTTGCCATGGATCCTGACATCCTGACATAGCCCAGTGGATAATTAGTTCAGGTTCATGCCCCCGTTGTTGAGCCCTCTAAACTACCTTCCACTGGTGTGCCTAAAGACAAGGATGTGTAACCTTTTGTCCTAGAAGATGGAACCATACTCTTTAAGGGATAAGTTCACCTTAAAATAAATACATAAATGTGCTTTTTTTTAAACCTGCATTATTATTTTATTAGGAGCCTGTAAACCATTTCACCTGCAAGCAGCAGGTCATGGATGCAGTGTTAGGCTCCTGTAGACTGTCTTTGTAGCTGTCTGCCTGTACCTTCAATACGGGCAGGCAGTTGTTGAATGACAGGAAGATCAATGAACTACCAGAGCACTCATCAGCGCCCTGGTAGTTCATTGAGAGCTACAAACCTTCAGCTGCAAAGGATGATGGCATTTTTAGAGTACTGTGAATGAATAATGCAACCATATGGGCAAAACCCTGCATGGCTACGCTCTTTATGAATTGTGACAGCGGGTGTGGAAAGATCCCCCTGCTGTAGCAACAAGCCCACCTAAATATGGGTGTAGCATGTAACATGTTCACAAAAGTGAACTTATCTTTTAAGCAGGATGAATTTGAATGGTCTGCCAACTTGCTTGAGACAGCAGGTACAAGTGGGGTGGAGTGCAGCATTTACTCACTGTACTCAGATGGAGATGCAGGCCCCTTTAACTCCTTTTACCACAACTTCTTGAGTTTCTGGACACAGCCACAGAAAATAAATTTCTCTGAGAGGTCACACCTGATGAGGTGGAGGTAGCTGGGCATTTGATCTGCAGCCAGGGGAGAGTTGCTTCACTGTCAGGACTGGCTTGCAGGCAGCCAGGCAAAAGCCTAAAAGAATCAGAAATACTTCTAATGGACGGCGCCACTGAACCTATATAAGGTGCTTCACCAAACGGAGAAAACAGGGGGGAAGCAGCTGTCTCCTCTTTGGAAACCCAAAGCAATCTACTCAGTCAAAAATTATTAAACAGCATTCACTGACACTCTATTAATAAACTGATGTTGTAGATATACAGACTACACTAAAGTGCAAAAACTGTAAAAAAAAATCTATAAAAAATACAAAAAGGAACACAGTGCTATATGCCAAACCCTGCTAAAATTGTCACATACTGATAATTTTAACATATCATAGAACATCCCCCATCATAATATAAAGCATACACATACCAATTTGTGTAAAAAATATAACAATTAATATATGTGCAAAAAAGTGCTATATGTGAAAATGTCATGCACTAATAAATTTGACACTTCATAGAACATCTCCCATCATACTACACAAATGTACCAATATGTGCAAAAATAAATATCCAATAATAATTATATGTGCAATACATATATGTATATAACTTAATAGTCCATGATGCATAAGAAAAAAAGTCCTTCAATCTAAATATATCTGTGTCTTTAATTCTTTGGGTTTCTTAAAAAACCACCACCACACTGTGTTTATCTACCACCAACCAAATTGAACAAACTCACCAGAGCTCCAGGCTGGTCAAATTATAAACCAGCTACTATGCATTGGCTCTGGGAGCAACGATCTACAGCGATGTCAATGCCTCTTATAAACTCTTAGCTGGACCCTCCTCATTTATACATGGAACCATATGAGAAGAAAGAAAAAGGGAACTTCATAGCATAACACCAATAAAAATGCTTTATTCTAATAAAATATCCACATCACGCTCAGATTACACAGTGTCATCACCAACACTGGTATGACCAGTATAAGTGAAAAAAGGGTAGACTCTGGTCGCTGTAATCACTGTGAGCTCACCCACATTATGACGTCACCTCTGAAAGCCCTATCCTACGCGTTTCATCATCCGACGTCCTCCAGGAGTAGAAGGACATGCGTCACCAACCATACTTCATTTATATTGCAATCAGTCAATACATAACTATATAAACAATTGAATTTTCCACATACTGTATGCATATCAAAATAGATCAATCTAAAATCTGTTTTATAATGTTTGACTGAAAAGCCTAAAAGAATGCAGCTTCACCTGGAAGACCCAGCTACAATAGGGAGTACCTCCCCAAAAGCTACAAGACTACTGCAGTTCCAGCAGGGTTGCTGTCTGTTCTCAGGCCTTGAATCCCTCCAGCTGTTTACCTGTTTTTCCAGAGCTACTCTGGACCTGGTTTAGGGGGATGTTGTTTATGAGCATAAGCACAATTAGCTGTTTGTGTTCTGTGATGTTTTACTGAATTATTGATTATCAGTTAGACTCCCTGATGTGATACATGTTACTCTGTTTGAGCCACAGAGACATACACTATATTGCCAAAAGTATTGGGACGTCTGCCTTTACACGCACATGTACTTCAATGGCATCCCAGTCTTAGTCTGTAGGGTTCAATATTGAGTTGGCCCACCCTTTGAAGCTATTACAGCTTCAGTTCTTCTGGGAAGGCTGTCCAGAAGGTTTAGGAATGGGAATGTTTGATCATTCTTCTAGAAGTGCATTTGTGAGGTCAGTCACTGATGTCAGACGAGAAGGCTTGGCTCACAATCTCCACTCTAATTCATCCCAAAGGTGTTCTATCGGTTTGAGGTCAGGACTCTGTGCAGGCCAGTCAAGTTCCTGTACCCCAAATTCCCTCATCCATGTCTTTATGGACTTTGCTTTGTGCACTGGTGCGCAGTCATGTTGGAACAGGAAGGGGCCATCCCCAAACTGTTCCCAAAAAGTTGGAAGCATGAAATTGTCCAAAATGTCTTGGTATGCTGACGCCTTAAGAGTTCCCTTCACTGGAATTAAGGGGCCAAACCCAGCCCCTGAAAAACAACCCCACACCATAATACCCCCTCCACCAATTGTTACACTTGACACAATGCAGTCAGGTGAGTACTGTTCTCCTGGCAACTGCCAAACTCAGACACGTCCTTCAGATTGGCAGAAAGAGAAGCGTGATTCATCACTCCAGAGAACATGTCTCCACTGCTCTAGAGTCCAGTGGCAGTGTGCTTTATGCCACTGCATCTGACACCTTATATTGCACTTGGCGATGTAAGGCTTGAATGCAGCTGCTTGGCCATGGAATCCCAGTTTATGAAAATCTATACACACTATTGTTATGCTAATCTGAAGGCCACATGAAGTTTGGAGGTCCTTAGTTATTAACTCTGCAGACAGTTGGTGACTTCTGCGCACTGTGCGCTTCAGCATGCACTGACCCCACTCTGTCATTTTACGTAGCCTTCCACTTTCTGGTTGAGCTGCTGTTGTTCCCAGTTGCTTCCATTTTGTTATAATACCACTGTAGAGATGTGCTGGTTGCTTTAAATCTTAAACAGCAGTTGCAAAGCATTTTTTTTTTTCTTTTCCCTCTTTGTGAGTGACAGACAGGGAAAGCAGGACTGTGCTCTGATTGGTTGTTGCTACAGCTGAGAAGGATCCACCCATAGCAGCACTGTTGCAGCTGGACTTATGATTGGCTGTGGAGGAAAGGAGAGAGGAAAAAGGAAGAAGTACATGTGGGGAGGCAGACATTTTCAGGGGACCGCATGGAGCAGGGGCTCCTGATGTAAAGTCACAGAGGCTCACTCTCTGTGCTGCTGGAACCCATAAACTGGGCTGGGAGTGTGTAGCAGAGGAATTGTTGCAGGAGGACAGTGTGCAAATCAAGTATTGTCCTGTCTGACACTCAGGATTACAGCCATTCAACTGCATGTGTCTCTCAAAGTCTGGAGCTACTGAAAGAGAGAGGATTTCTACTACTGTCTAATGCTATCTAGAGGACAATCCAGAAACAGCAAGCACTCTATGATGAAAGGGGATTTTGATATTGCTGCATTTGCTCTTCATCTCTGGAGAATGGTCATGAGAAAGCCTGCTCTCTAATTCTCAGAGTGACACAGATCTTGGAAAGCCCAAGCTGCTCAGAATTAGCTATTCCTGCTGCTGATTGATGAGAGAACTCTGTCTCTGTATATTGTCTCCTCAAGACTTGTGCTGTGGCTGAAGAGTGTGTTTTAGTTCCAAATCCCCACAGAAGCTTGCTGCTTTGAATATACTGAGCAAGTGTCAGTATATCAGGATTTCACCTGTATGGTAAAGATTTGTTGAAGTGTTGTTTTTCTTCTATTGCAATGTTCACTGGAAGATTCAGTGAGCGCTCTTCCATTGATTAACCTCCTTGGCGGTATGATTATTTCAGATTTTTGGTGCTGAAAGCGGTACCATTATTTTGCATGGAAATATGTAGTTTTTGTATTGTAGGCCTGTCATTTTTAGGAATAACTCACTGAAATCTGTCCGAACAAGAGTCTAGTAAACATTCCGGATATGATAAAACTTGAAACACAAAATCATAAATTATAATTTAATAAATAATCATAAAAAATAATAATAAATTTAATTCAATAATATAATCAAACCAAAAACACTGAAATTTGAAATAGAGCGCCAAGTTCGCACATCGCTGAGCAAAGTCGCAGAATCATTTTCAGTGTCTGATGACGAATTTCCCCACAAATCATTATCACTCAATTCTGCAAGTAGTTCTTATTTACTATCGCTGTTCTCTAGCTAGTCTAAAACCGATTTTGACCTAAAGGGACACTTTTTGGACACCATGGACTTTTCTAAGTTTCCAGGCAGAAAGAACAGTCAAAATGCAGGCAGGGCACAGGACAAAGCAGTAGGGACAAAATGTATGTGAAATGCTTTGAAACAGCAATGTTTTGCTATGTAATAATCGTTTTTAAAAAAAAAGACATTTTTTAAAACTTTCAAATTTGCCGCCGTTCCAGCGCCCGTATGTCCCGACATCACAGGGACAGGAACACGGAAGCTGGATGCCGGCATCGGCCGGAGGAGATGGCTGGGGACGCTGCAGGGGACACATCGCGGGAGCGAAGGACAAGGTAAGTGCTGCAGGGAATCCCTGAGCAATGCCGCATGGTAAGCCCGAGTGTAGCTCAGGGTTACCGCTTGTGGTACTGAAATTTTACCCCAAGCTACACTCGGGAATACCGCCAGGGAGGTTAAAGGGCCCCAATGTTGAAAGACTTTAAGTTTCATCTCACTGGCCAGTGGTTAGGTAGGACATTTCTGCTGTAGCTAGTATTGCTATAGCAAATGGCAATAAGCTACTAAATCTCATTAACAGTTATTGTTTCATGTGTCAATGTCACTCTCATATGTCACCCTAGTCAGTGTGATACTAGTCAGTTTTTGGAGTCTTTGGCAAGTGAATTGTGACTTCTTACTAACTGTGTTATGCAAAGTGTTATCTGTGTTTTATGTAGATTACCTGTGTTAAATCAGCTAGTTCTTTTTCAGGGTTTGTCTTCTTCAATAAAACCCATAAAAAATATTCTCAGAGTGTCAAAGTGTTCTGGGTATAATCGGAGGTGTCACCAGATTCAGGTGGGAGCTGAACCTATATATCTAGCCAAGCATCACCCAAGGGTGTGCTACACCACTAACAGCTGACCATGGAATATTTAGCAGCAATGAAATTCACGGATGGACTTATTGTACAGGGGACAACCTATCACGCTTGAATTCACTGAGCTCATGAGAGCGACCCATTCTTTCACAAATGTTTGTAGAAGCAGTCTGCATGCCTAGGTGCTTGATTTTATACACCTGTGGCCATGGAGGTGATTAGAACACCTGTATCCAATTATTTGGAGGGGTGTCCCAATACTTTTGGCAATATTGTGTAGCTGTGAAGAGTCCATGTCTGTGCAGTTTTCATTATCTGTTTTGTATTATTCAGCAGTATATGCATGCTGTTTGCCATACTGGCCATGTTTTGCATTATTGACTCTAAACTTTGTTCCTGTTTAGTAAACTGCAAGTACAGTTACTCTCTTGTCATATCTTTTGGCCAGCTACCTATTCTGTTATAGGACGACCATGCATGTTTGCATGTGGAAAGAATAGGGAGAAAAACTAAATGCACAAATCCGTAATAGGTTTAAAAAAATAACAGAGGGCATTTAGGGCCCTCTGATCTATATTCCTAATCTACGATCAATCAGCAAGCATAGGGGTAGTTCTAATGATTGTTCCCTAATCCTGGCCAGACTATGCAAGCATTCTGTAATGTATGTAAACACTTTAGGACTATTGCAGTTCTCAGCTGCTCAGTTTATTTTTTTGGTGTAGTGGTATTTAGCTACTCGGAAGATTGTGGGTCTTGCATATCATGACATACTACAGAAATGCTTTCAGTAAGGTATTGTGTATATTACACTTTCAGTAAGATACGAGGATCATACATCTGTAGTAAGATAATATTGCTAGTCCCATTTACAACATATCTCAAGCATGCTCCCTTTTACAAATATGTACAAATTATCAACAGAAATGTTTTAAAATGTCATACTTTAATACGATTACTTTACGCTATAATGATTCCTTTTATACATATACTGCATATGAAACACACTATAGTGATTTCAGACTTGAAACAAGTGGAAGCAGTTTGACAGCCAAAATAAATCACAGTCAACAGAATTGTAATAAATGAAATAAGAAAATGTAACTGATACTTACCTGTATATTCAATTATGCAATCTGATAATTTTCAGCAGTGAGTCTGCAACTGAACTGTGTTTTATTCAGACTTTATCTGAAGCTTTCCTTGTGGTAGGTGACTCTGTTTTCTACAATGAACACTTGTACCTTGATTTAAAGAGTCTTACAGGACCTTTTTTCTTTGTTATTGAGAATCTGGACAATTCTAGTATTCAACAATGTGGTAATTAAATACTGCTAAATAGCCTTTTTAATAAGGATTGTAATTGGAGCTTTTTTCACGCTAATCAACAAAGTGGTAAAAATAAGCTTCTCTCAATGATCTCATAGTCTAAAGTTGACACCTTTGGGCTCATTTACACAGCTGCAGATGGATTTATGTGCCTGGGTGTCACAGGTGTTTGCATACAGCCAAGGACAGCAGCCTGTACAATTCAAAGGAAGGCAGCCACAGCTCTATGCACATCTGAGTGTTTGCATGCATACGAGGAAGGAGGAGTGACCCTGGATGTAAGCAGTTTGCATTTGGAGCTGCTCATCCATTCATATACAGATGTAAATGCTTGGATGGGCATAGAACCATGGATTCTGTCAGCCCTACATTGATTTGTATGGGTTGCTGCCCACAGCTGTAGTCAAATACCTGTGATTCCTGAGCACAGAACTCTCGCTCTACTGTACAGCCCTCTAGAGCTAAAAGAATGCACACTTTCTGTTAATAGAACTTGGATAGGGATAGGAAGCAAGGGATACCCCGAAACTGTAAAACTGTGCAACTTGAGGATCGCTTAAAGCGTAACTCCACTTTTGTTGAGAAAAAAACATTGCCCTCTGGGTGAGCCATATACAGTGTCTTGAAAAACTATTCATACCCCTTGAAATTTTCCACGTTTTGTCATGTTACAACCAAAAACATAAACTTTATGTGACAGACCAACACAAAGTGGCACATAATTGTGAAGATGAAGGAAAATGATAAATGGTTTTCAAAATATTTTACAAATAAATATCTGAAGAGTGTGGTGTGCATTTGTATTCAGCCCCCTTTACTCTGATACCCCTAACTAAAATCTAGTGGAACCAATTGCCCTTAGAAGTCACCTAATTAGTAAATAGAGTCTACCTGTGTGTCATTTAATCTCAGTATAAATACAGCTGTTCTGTGAAGCCCTCAGAGGTTTGTTAGAGAACATTAGTGAACAAACAGCATCATGAAGACCAAGGAACACACCAGACAGGTCAGGGATAAAATTGTGGAGAAGTTTAAGCAGGGTTAGGTTATTAAAAAATATCCCAAGCTTTGAACATCTCACGGAGCACTGTTCAATCCATCATCTGAAAATGGAAAGAGTATGGCACAGCTGCAAACCTACCAAGACATGGCCGTCCACCTAAACTGATGGGCCGGGCAAGGAAAGCATTAATCAGAGAAGCAGCCAAGAGGCCCATAGTAACTCTGGAGCAGCTGCAGAGATCCACAGCTCAGGTGGGAGAATCTGTCCACAGACAACTATTAGTCAAGCACTCCACAAATCTGGCCTTATTGGAAGAGTGGCAAGAAGAAAGCCATTGTTGAAAGAAAGCCATAAGATTTCTTATTTGCAGTTTGTGAGAAGCCATGAGGGGGACACAGCAAACATGTGGAAGAAAGTGCTTTGGTCAGATAAGACCAAAATGTAGCTTTTTGGCCTAAAAGCAAAATGCTATGTGTGGTGGAAAACTAACACTACACATCACATTGAAAACACCGGGAAACATGGTGGTGGCAGCATCATGTTGTAGGGATGCTTTTCTTCAGCAGGGACAGGGAATCTGGTCAGAGTTGATGGGAAGATGGATGGATCCAAATACAGGGCAATCTTAGAAGAAACCTGTTAGAGTCTGCAAAAGACTTGAGACTGGGGAGGAGGTTCACCTTCCAGCAGGACAACGACCCTAAACATACAGCCAGAGGTACAGTGGAATGGTTTAGATAAAATCATATTCATGTGTTAAAATGACTCAGTCAAAGTCCAGACCTAAATCCAATTGAGAATCTGTGGCAAGACTTGAAAATTGCTGTTCACAGATGCTCTCCATCCAATCTGACAGAGCTTGAGCTGTTTGGCAAAGAAGAATGGGCAAAAATCTCACTCTCTAGATGTGCAAAGCTCGTAGAGACATCCCCAAAAAGACTTGCAGCTGTATTTGCAGCAAAAGGTGATTCTACAAAGTATTAAATCAAGGGGGCTGGATACAAATGCATGCCACACTTTTCACATATTTATTTGTAAAAAATGTTTAAAAGCATTTATCATTGTCCTTCCTTATGTGCCACTTTGTGTTTGTCTTTCACATAAAATCAACATAAAATACATTTACGATTTTGGTTGTAACATGACAAAATGTGGAAAATTTCAAGGAGTATGAATACTTTTTCAAGGCAATGTACATTGCAAAAATTTTAAACACACACTTTGTTGCAAATTGCTGCCTTTTGTTATTCTAAAGAAAGAGATGGATGTTTTCCTGTGTTCATGTGCAAAATGAATGGGAGTTTGTCCTAATTATCAATCAGCTGCTGAACCTGCAGGGTTCTAATGAGGAAAATTGCTGGGTTTGCATCTCTTTAGATGGGATTTCCCTTCAGGAGTATCTCACCAAAAATTACATTTATGTTGCAGTAGATGTTTGAAACCTGACTTGTATCTTAGTGCAGACTTCTGGTAAAATCTGTGAGCCAATCACACAAGGAGTTGCTGGGGGGGCGTGCTGTACACATTCTGCATACAGAATACCTCCAGGTAGCAATATTGCATTGCATTTTACAGTGAATTAAATACCTGCTGATTGAAAAGGAAAGATTTATGTAATAAAATTAAATTACAATATGACTTGTTTTGCAATTGTATATGCTATTTTTTTCCCACAAAAGTGGAGTTACCCTTTAACTTCTGGCTGTTCTGCTCAACTTGCTAGCTGTACTTGTACATCTTCTGGCTGCACTTTCACAAAGTAATGTCCCACAGGATCTCTAAGTTGTCTGTGACCTGTAGTCTACCCAGAGTCTCAAGGCACCACACCTTCACACTTGCAACACTAGGGTCTTGTACTCAGGATCATCAATTACTTCCAGACAATACCATCCAGGCTCTTCCTAGAGAGGGAGACCCACACCTCCTCTGGACAACTTGGGCTCTCTCCCATAGCTTCCTTTCAGCTCTATCCTCTGACCTTTTTCCTGACCCAACTAGATACTTGGAATGGACTTACTCCCCAGCTATGCCTAGCTGGTACCTCGTTGTGCCTACAGGCTGGCTTGCTTCCAGACTTCTGCCCAAGGGGCAGAGCCCCTCAAAAGAGGTCTACGCCTGCAGAACTGGACCTAGGAACTCTCCCCTTTGCTGCTTGGGCCTCAGCCTATTTATAGGCCCTCCCACCACCATCTGAGCACACCCCCTGAGGGATTGGGCAGAGTCCCATAAATATTTAGGCTGCAGACTCTGTCCTCCCTCCCACTATGTTCTAGAAATCTCTAGAAGACCAGAGGAAGTAGCAGAGCATCAACCTGTGAAACACTGAGCAGCCCTAAGCAATCCACTCCTGCTCTACTGATTACAGTGGAGGTACACTAAACTTGCCTAGCAGCCTACTCTGACCTGGAGGGTACTACACTTATTATGTCCCTTTGGCCTATTGACTACTTGTTATGTACTACTTACCTAAGATTCATAAGGACCAAACCAAACCTCCTGACCACCTGATTTACTAGTGATCTAGGTTTTATCACAGCCAGGATAGGTAAATATGTGGATCACTATCTGAAGCCATTGGTGTCATGTAGACTCACATATTTGAAGGTGTGTATACCTATAATAAATATTATAAAATATACCCTTTTTTTCAACATATTTATAAGTGATCACATACCCTCTGTTCTCAGCTAGGGGAGAGAAACAGCAACACACTGGTCTTCTCAGTGAAAGTTTTGCAAGGGTGGGAGGAGTTTGAGCACAAGTCTGATCATTGGAAGAGAGCAGACCGAGTTCCAGCTGCGTTAGGAAAGTGACCACACTGGGCTCTTATGCCTAGTGTGGTTAGTTTTTAATAGGAAAGCAGAGGGGCTGGCAGGATCACCAGGAATTGCACACAAAGGAAGTAA